ATTGGAGAGGCCACAGAACCTTAGCTACAGTGTAACCAAAGAATGGCATAGGGTGAAGGGTACTGGAAAAATAATAACCCTTCCCCTAGGAGTTTTGGATGTTTTCTGCAGGGGACAGAATTAATATAATTCTTCATTGCTAGGTTCTTTGATCTGGAACTTAAGGGTTAGACACACTTCTTTCAGAGGCGGCAGTAAGAAATTGTGTCCAATTTCTAACTTGTAGATTGACTACCAACTTTGCTCTTTTTTTTCCCCCACCCTGACCCAAAAGAACTTTCTGCCCTGTTGTTAGATATCTAGTTGCCGATATATTGTTAGCAGTAGAAATGGAGTGCCCTGTGATGAAAGCTTCAAATTTGCCTCAAAAAGATCCTGTGGAGCCTAAAGAATGTAAAATAATTTAAGAATGTTTATAATTTATTCTCCTGGAGAGTGATTCTGTTGGTCTAAGACAGAACATGGAAATCTGACTTTTTTTTAAATAAGCAAGGTAAGTCTTTTTGAACACTGGGAAACACTGTTCAAAATACAGATATATCTCTATAAGGAAACTGTCTCTTCCCATATATCCTACCCCATCTCTACTAAAGTACTCCTAGAGGCTCGGTACCAGTGCTAGGTGGGCACTGTCCCCTGTCAACAGAGCTGGAGGTAAATTTCCCTCTCTGCTTCTTGGGAAATCTTTTATTCTATGCTGGCTCTGTTTGCTCTGCTGACCCCTAGTGGCCATGTAAGAAAAAAAAAGAGGTTTAGGTACTCCCTCAAAAGTATGTAACTGTACTGTATCCCTAAATGTACCAATAAACTCAAAGCTGAAAAAAAAAAAGTATATAGGCTGAGGTGGCCATGTTGAGTTCCAAGGCACTTGCTATGATTAAAAGAAAAGAGGGAGAAGGATGTCACTTTGAGGTATTTGGAATGATTCTGTGTTGGGGCATTAGCATTAGGTAATTCCATTGTGGGAGTACAGATACAGTGTGAGGAGAGTGTAAGCATAACAGGCTGAGGCTAATGGAGCACTTATTTATTGAGGGTGAATGTAAGGAAACGGTGGAGAATGAATTGTATTGGCCTTTGAGATTATCCCAGCTACTGTAGAACTGTACTTCCTATAGATGTCTTTCAACTGTTTGAGAAGAAAGGGTAGAATTCCCAGGCACTGCAAGAACCTGTGGGATGCAGTCTAAAAAAATGGTAGCACTTTCAGGGGTTCCGTTTACTCTACACCTTGGAGCTCGAGGAGGCTAAGTAGCCAATTATGTAAACACCCTATCTATACCTGAGAGGAGATAAGGCTAGTAAGGAAAGTCCAAATGATATAAATCTACCAGATTAGGCAGAGATGGCCCAAGCTATTGATAGGAACAATAGTTTTGATGCCTGAGTATTTAAAAGGCCCCACATAAAGATGTTAACCTCTGAAGTATATGTTAAGAAAGGTAATAGAATAAGGTAACTACAGTCAGTTCAACTCCCAAGGACAATTTCTAGCAAAAGCATGAGGAATTCTAACTGATCCCCTTCACCTAAAGGCAAACCAGGGAGCTACTTTGGGCTAAGTTAGTCCCTTTATCCCTTAAGTTCTACTGAAGCAAAAAAAGGCTGGCCGTCAACTCAGCAAAGGCAGTTTGCCTTCTCTGCTTGTGTGTTCCCTACCCCAGCAAAGCTGGAAAGAAGGACACACACTTCTTGCACCAGAGGTGAAATTACTTCTGGAAAAAAGAGCAGAAACCATGTACCACAGATAGCTATGCGTATGTGAATGGTGACAAGCAAATATAAAAAAATTTCAGGCTAATTTCAGACTTTTGTGGTACATGGTGGGAAGATTATCCAAAAGAAAGAGGTGGTGGGTAGTAGAGACAGTACAATGGAAATATAAAAGGAAATGAATATTATGTTTTTTTACCTTGTAACCAGTTTGGGTTCTTGTCTCAGTAAACATTGATGTCTCCTATGCTCTTTTTTTTTTTTTAAGAAAAATTTCTTTATTTCACATCCTGATTTTTAGAAAACCAGTGATGTTCCTCTGGAAAAGACAATGTACTCTCCATTTGCTTTTTTTTTTTTTTTTTTGTACCAGGGATCCAACTCAGGCCCTTGTGCTTGTGAGGCAGATGCAGCAACCACTGAGCTAAATCCCTGGCCCAGAATTATTTATAAACTTAATCTATCACTTCCTGAAAATGTGCTATTATTGATGTGAAAAGTCTATCAGAAGTATGAAAAATAAATCCAACAGAACACCAATATCATGATTACTTTAAGGCAAACGTTCCTTTTTGGTTGGTTACAAGTTATAGTAGGAACCACTGAGCTAAATCCCTGGCCTCTCTCCACTTGCTTTTAAGCCTTTAATGAGTGGCTTTCCTTCTCAGCACAGTCTTTTCAGCCAATAACATAAACATTATTCAGAGCCTTGTCCATCATCAGTTAAGCAGAAGGTAGTTCTGCAGATTTGTCTGGACAAATGAGAAGCAATGGAAGGGCCCAGAAAGTGGTAACCTAGAATTAGCAGATAAGAAAGGGTAGAACCTTGTGAAGTGTAATGATGCTTCCCTACGGCCAGGAACCCTTGAAGCATTAAACTCATGGCTCTTCTGCTCTCTGATACTGATAGCTCCTCTCCAAGTAAGCAGCATTAGTGGACCTTCCCTACAGACTGAATTTGAGGTGTATCAGAAGAAATCGTGCTTACACTCACCTTCTGTTCAGATCAGTCTCCTTACCCAGTAACATAATGACAACATTGTAGCGTCTTTCCTACCATACAGCTACCCACTTACCTATCTCCTTGAAAGAAATGATTTCTGTGAGAAAATATGCTGCAGAGTCGAAACACTTAGAAGTTTGGAGAGAATAATGTATCTGTCCTTTCTCTATTAGTCTTATCAACTTCCCTATTGCTTCCTTCATAACCTTTTTGTCAAATAAAATCTATAACTCACTTGTGTTACCATGGACAACCACTGCCATAGTTGAATTGCAAATGCAGCTAGACTACAGATGAAGCTGTAGAATTGGGCTGCAAGAAAGTGGGAAGGGTAGGGGAAAGGTAATAAAGGAAAAGAAAAAAATAGAAAATGAAAAAATGGAAATAAAGTGTTTGTAAATGGCCGGAGGAGGGGGTGAAGGGAGGACAGGGACGGGGAAAAAAGTGAGAACCAAGACCTGTCATGTAGAGGTACAAGATCCCAATAATGAATGTAACTGTACTGTATGCGTAAAATATACCAATAAACTCAATGAGAAAAAAAAGAATTGGGCTGCAAAAGCATTCCTGGCCAGCCATGTCCCATAACTGCAGTATAAAACAAATATTTAAGAGGAAGATGGGAAAAATACAAAAGAAACTAGCTTTTTAAGAGCTAGAAGCTAGCTCTTTAATTCCAGCACTGGATGCTGCGTAGCTGGAATCCCAGCACTTTTGGAGGCTGACAGGAAGATCACAAGTTCAAGCTTAGCCTGACCTACTTAATGAGACTGGGTCTTAAAAAAAAAAAGATCTGGGGATGTAGCTTAGTGCAAAGGCCCTAGGTTCACTCTAGTACCACAAAACAACTAGAATCTAAGTCAAGGAGACTGGATGTCTGAAGAGGGGCTGCTGTTGCCTCAAATCAAGTGGCCTACAGTTCTAGGACAGGTTAGGCAATCCCAAGATACTATTGTGATTAAGGAAACACCCTGCAGAACAGCAGATTTAAGGATTCACACCATCTTAATGTTACAGTTGCCAGTAAGTAAGGGCAGAAAGAATAAGAATCATCACAGGGTTTGGTAATTTGGGGGAGGCTAATCTGGGAAAGTGCTAACCTGTCAAGAATGAGCTGAGGGGGTTGAGGAATAGAATTAAAGGTATGAACTTTTTACACTTTGGGGTCCTCTAAGTGCACGGTCTTAGGAAGTTAATTCCCATAGCTGCCTGTGACAGAGTCATATTTTCCACAATTCTCTCTCTATTCCCAATACCCAGCAGTCTTAGAACCAGAAGTAGAGAATTCCCCTTTAGGAGGTTGTCCTGGCTCAACTTCCCAGCACTTCCAATGGATAGCTCTGAGGAAGAGCGCCCCAAGTGAGTTGGCCAAGGAAAGCAGCAAAACTGTTGGGTAACTGGTGGTGGGCTTGCCTGACAGGCACAGTCCAATCTGTCTGTCCTTCATGAAGCAGATGAGGATGGATGTCTTGGGCATTGTACAAGAGGGAGCTAAGTAGGCCAATTATTGGCCTTTCTCCCCATTAATCTCCATGAACCCCTTCCTCCACACACACACTCCAAACTCCCAAAGAGGAGGAACTCCATATCCAGGAAAAGCACCCACCCCACTTCATACCATTCAACCTTCCCATCGCCAAAGCCCAACCTAGACCATCATTGGCTGCTGTGCTCTCCCAGAATATCGATTTGGATTGGCACAGAGCCTGGTGTTTGTATTTCATGTCTGTCTCCAGGCCACAACCTCGGATTTCACTCTGCTCCCGGTCTCACAGGGTCCAAAAGCATTCATTGCAGCCTGGGTGGGGGTGGGGAGCGAAACTGGCTTCCCACCTTTGGCCCTTGGGCCACCTGCTGTCTCCCCACTCGCAATGAGGGTGGGACCCAGGCCTAGGCGTGGCCCCGCCCTCTCAGTTTACTACCCTGGCTCTTGCAGCGCCACAACCTACTCTGGTCCTCGGGGCAGTGGGGACAGTAGGGTGATCTGAGGAGTAGGATGATGGGGTGGGGATGGGGATGGCCACATTCAGAGAGAAAACTGAAGGGTCCACGAGGGGAAGGCAGGTGACACTGCCAGAGAGAAGTCTGAGGCCACACGGGAAAAGTACATGCTAAGAATAAAACAATCACGGGAGTAGGGACAGGGGAGGTGCAAGGGAAGGATCATTCTCAGTACTCTTCACGAGATGGAAATACAAGGAGAGCGGCAGGCACGTCTGGACAAAAGAATTTATTAGAGCGTTAGGGTGGGGCTTCCACCTAGAGGGGCGTCAGATCTAGGCGCTCAATTCTCCTCATCTCCCTCCGCCGCCAGAGCCTGCTGCGTCTCGGCGCGGCCGCCTTGCTCCTGCTTGGTAAAATCCTCGATGACTGTGTCCTCAGAGCTTTCAGCAGAGGAGACTGGGGGCGGGTGGAGTGTTAGGAGCGGCGTTCACTACCCTTTCCTGACCCCAGAGAAGAAGAGATCCGGCCTCTGCTTCTCAGTTCCAGAGCCCCCTCTCAGTAGCGCCTCCCCTCCACTGACCACAATGGCTTCAGTCTTTTTGTTCCCTCACCACTCTCCCAAAACAAAAGTCCCCTAGGAGTGTTAGAAAAGAAGTAAGAACAGAGGGGGTCGCGGAAGCAGGGAATGGGAGAATGGAAGAAGAAAATGAGGGCAAGTGAACAGGCAGAAGGGAAAAGGGAAATAGAACGTATGAGGGGGAAGGACAATTCCCACAAGAGCAGGGGGTAGAGGGCGGGAAGTGTAGAAAGGGAAAGGACAGCACAGGAAAAGCACTCGGTTGTGACAGGAAGCCAAACTATATGTTTCCACTGCACATGTATTGAAAGCAACGCCATGGGGAAGCCTTTACATTTCCGTGGTCATAAAATGGAGGGTAGCAGTGAGGCTCCCAAGCCTCATATTCCCTTACCTAGCCGCTTCTGCAGCAGGCATGGGGAGGGAGGAAGAAATGGAGCTGAAGCTGATAAGGGACTCTTCAGTCCTCTGAAGAAATGTTTTTACTCTTTTCCCTCCCTTTCAAGTCCTTCGCCTCCCACAAAACACAGACACCCAACCTGCTCATTGACATTGCATCTCTACCCAAACTGCTAAGAAATAAGATCAGAACCTCTCGGCCCCCAAACCTGGACACAACCAGTCCTGTGGGCCCCGCCTGGTCACTCACGGTGAGATGGCTTTGGGTGGATCAGGATCAGGGGCAGCTCAACACCAACATCACTGCAAGGATTCCCAAGGTGGATTTACTGACATCACTACAAGCCCAGTCACGGAAACATTCTCCCTTAATTTTCCAGTTGTAGGATGCCTGCAGACTCTTCCCAACCGCTGTTTTGAATTAATTTATGTTTGTGATACTGAGGATCAAACTCAGGACTTTGTTCATTCTAGGCAAGTGTTCTTCCACTGAGTAATATCCCAACCCCTCCCCCACTTCTGTGGTACTGGAGATTGAACCTAGTACTTTACACATGCCGGGCAAGCACTCCACCAATGAGCTACATTCCCCCTCCCACTTTGAGATAGAGTCTTGATAAGTTTTTCTAGTAGGCCTCACATGTTTGATCCTCCTGCCTCAGCCTCCCTAGTAGATGAGATTACAGGTGTATGCCACCATATGATGCTTGACTAGTCACTCTTTTGGTTTCCTTATCCCCTCATCCTCCCCATTCTGTCCATCTTCTCGCCCCATTGTCTCTCACCTGGCTATCAGATCTCTTAGGATGCTGTGGATAGACTAGCACCCCATATTAGGGGTGAAAATGGGGAAGAGGCAACCTAGTTTTACTGGGAGATGAAGGATCATGAATAAGGCCAACTTAGTCACAGAATGGGTTTCTGGAAGGAAGGTGACTTGCTCATTGAGCTCACACATTTGGGAACTTAGTCTGGGAGAAGGGGAACAGCTTGACTGGGTCAGTTCGAGTGGGGTAAAAAAGCAATACAAAATGCTTGGCTCCCCAGCCCCTGCCCAGACAGACTTTGAACCCTCACTCTCCAGACACCATCAGGTTGACTCTGACTTTGTAGGACACCAGGATCCCCAGCAGCTCCTTGTTCATTCCAGGTCGAAGACTAGCAATTATAGTATCCATTTTTGTATGTTTGGGATGGGAGAAGTCATTCATTTAGTCCTCTACTTCCTTCCTGTGCACTCCCACCGCCACAGCCTATTACTTTTTTTTTTTCATTAAGTTTATTGGTACTTTTTAGGTATACAGTACAGTTACACTCTTCATTGGGATTTTGTACCTTTTACATGATGTCTTGGCTTTTATATTTTCCCCATACCCCTGCCCTCACCTCACCCCCTCCATCCTTCCCTATTTACAAAGACTTTGTTTCCATTTCTTGTATTTTTTCTTTTCCCTACCCTTCCCACTTCTACTTCTTTAGCCCTTTTCTCCCTATTTCACATTATCACTTATACAATTCAAACCTTATTTACACTTTTAGTTTTTCACACCAAAGAAACAGCCTATTACTTTATATCTTCTCTCAGAAGATCTACCAGCCTGTAATCTCTCCTACCTATTGGGACTACAGTTCTCTTCCTAAAATTCAGTTTTACCATATTATTCTTTTTTTAAGATTCTACCCTATTGAATAAAACTATTCTGCTTAACTTTCAAGACCCAAACAATCTGTCCTCATCTACTTTTGTCTAACCTTCTCTGCCCTAACTCCCATATCACCTGGGATACAACAGACCTGTCCTCCTTCTATGGTCTGAAAATGTCCTATGGATTATCACCCTCTAGCCCGGGTCCATGCTATGTCCCCAGTCTGGCATGTTCATTTTTTCTTCTGCTGATATTCAGAGCTTGCACATTCTGAAGATCTAGTTCATTCTACCTCTTCTGGAAAGCCTTTGCCAATTATAAAGTTGGCTTCTTCTAACTTCTGTTGGTCTCATAATCTGAGCTACATGCACTAACATTAAACTATTAGATTGCACTTTTATTATTTGTTCTTTATCTAGCCCATACATTGACTAAAGGCAGAGAGGATCTTAAACATTGTTTCGTATCCTACACATTGCTTAGCATAGGAATGGCCATTTAATAGGTGATCAACCAGTGCCTGCCTTGTAAGCATAAGGACCCTGGTACCAAAAAAAAAAAAAAAATAGGTGATCAATAAAAATCTGCTGATGGAAAAATAAGATACTGCAAGCTATATGATTGTGGGAAAGTCTATTTATTGCTCTGGGCAGCTGATACCCTCTCTGTAAAATAATGCTATTCGCATGATTTCTAAAGGTATTTCTAGCAATAACAGTCTATATCTATCGGTTGATAAGGCATAGGGTGAGGTCATGGAATTTATGCTTTTCAGTTGACCGATGGCTTTTGGTGGGTGGCACATTTAACACTAGGGCCTCTGAAGACATAAGACCAAATTAAAGACATCACAGAATTCTACCAGTTCCTTCATATCATTGTCCCTTTTATCCTCTTTTTCCTACATTTCTCATTCCCTAATCTTTCACTCTATAGTCTCTGGAGAATAGCTGCTGTAGCGATCAGAGTGTTTAGAGCCAGATGACATGTAAAAGAATGCTGTCTACCTCTGTTATTTGTACAACCTTGGACAAGTTCCTTCTCTGAGCCCCAGGGTCCCTAAGTGTAAAATGGAATAAGAGCATCTGTCCAGCCTACTTTAATGGGATTCTGATGAAGACAATATACCACATATGTAAGGCCTCTGTGAACTGTGAATTATACATAAAGAGTTTATCCTCCATATTTTCCTTTCTTGCTGCCTGTGGCCAAAGTGTACCATTGGTCCCATGGGCATTATTTAGCTTGTTGTTGGCTCTCAGGCTTGGAAGGGGTCTGAACATTGGCCAAGAGACATTTAAAAAGTGAGTAGGCTTCACTGAAGATGAAACTATATAGTATATGGAACGAGTTATAGGTAAGAAATGGAGGTTGGAAGTTACATTTGATCTTACATTGTGCTAGAGGCCAGATGGGTATCTTCATGCTTGAGTTTGCCATCCAGTGCCAGGCCTTGTTTCTGACAGTTGGCCAGGAGTGGGGTGAGTGCAAAGCTCTGAGAGAAATTGTAGTTAGCAGCTATAGTCTCCATTTGAAAGGAGAACAAGAGAAGAAGTTAGGCTAAGTTTGCCAAAAAAGTATACCTTCACTTTCAGAAGTATCTTACACAATCCCAAAATGCTACTGGATTATCTAAGAGAAGTGATATATCTAACTAGGAAGAGTAAGAGGATTAGCTCTGGTGGGGAATCCTTATGCCTTCTACCCTCTCTTAGAATGCTGATGGTCCTCCTCAGGGAAAGTTAGTTCCCCTCCCTCTAGTCCTAAAATCCTTCACTTTCTACATTTTAGCGCTCACCTTGACCTTCCTCATTCCTGCATCCCTTCTTTCCCCAACCCCCTTTTCTGTGTCTTAGCCCTCTTCCTACCATCCCAACCCTTAGCTTTGTCCCCATCCTCAGCATCAGCTCACGTGAATTCCTGAATGAACACAGTCTTGGTGTACTTGTCTAGTGAGTAGAGGACAACGTCTGTGATGTGGTCAACTGAACAAGCCAGGAAAAGCAAACGACTATAATCAGTGAGTCATCCTTCAGAACCCTGCTCACTGTTCACAGATGCTATCTTATACATGGGTACCCATACATAATTCAGTAGTATGTGCTCAGTGACAAAGGTATATATTTGAAAAAGCTTGCATTGGAGGGAAAACCAAGATTAATACAGACAGGTAAGTGGAGCAGAGTACTAGAAAGAAACCTATCTGTGATTTGCGGGCCAGATATGGGGCTGCAAGAAATGAAGCTCACTTGAAATCTTGATTTTTTGATGACTTTGTTGGTGCAGTTGTTGATAGAAACACTGACAGAAATGGGTTCTCCATGGTAGTGAACCTGAAGCAGGAGGAGAAGCCTATCCCAAGGTTGAAGGAAGAATGTTCAGATCAAGACCTAGAATTCCTGTTTCCTGAACATTATTGCTGTCCTGGCTCTCATCTTTGCCTACTCAAAGAGGAAATTGGTGAAGAAAGGGTATCATATTGATTCCAGGTCAGAGGCAGAAAGTATGGTCACTAACCTCCCTGTCCATCCAGGGAGTTGTAGGGGCTGAGCTGACAGAAGGAAGCGGTGGATGGTCTGGGCATAGGGGCCCAAGGCTCCAAGGGTGCAAACTGTACTTTCTGGACAACCAGCCTCACAGTCTCTGAGTAGGGACCAGGAAGTTAGCCGGAACATCACTTTTTGGAACCACAGAGCTCCTCATGCTACTCCCATAGCCCAGTCTTTGCTTGAGTATGGGATAGGAGAAAGGCTCCCTCAGAGAACTCCTGTAGGAATTCTCAATGTAGGTATGTAGACCAAGGGTTAGAAAATATAGTCCACAGGCCTAATCTGGCCTGCTACTTGTTTTTATATGGCTTGTGAGCTAGGAATGGTTATTACATTTGTGAATGGTTGAAATAAATCGAAGAACAATATTCCACAACACGTGGATATTATATAAAATTCAAATTTCAGGATCTATAAATAAGATTTTATTGGAACATAGCCACATTTTATTTATGTAGAATTAGTGGCAGCTTTGTTCTACAATGGCAGAGATGAGTCTTGCGACTGAAACTGTGTAACTCTCAAGACCTAATTATTTCTCTTTCAGCCCTTTACATAAGTTTGCTGACTTCTTCCCTAGGGTGAAGAAGAGCAGTAAAAGAAGACTCAGAACTGGGTATCCAAACTAATGGGTATGGTGTAATAGAGGTCAAAAGTAGGCCTGTTTTTGTCAGAAGAACAGGATCTGGTACTTGGCAGGAGCTAAAGATGGGGTTTTGGGAGAAGACCAAGAATACTTCTTAGAGATTTTCTCCTCCAGGTTTTCAGCACAGAAAACTCTTCACTTCAAAGTCAACCCCACAAGCCTGTAAAGAGGATAGGGCAAAGAGAACTCATCTGCAATGCTGTTCCTCCCTTCTCTGTGAGCCTATAATAAAATGCCTGGCCCCATCCCTTAGCTGTCTACTTCTCTAGTCTTGTCCACCTGCACCCCTGTTCTACTTCCCTGGTACTACCTGTCTGCCCCTCTGCAATAGATTGGATATAAAATGACCCCCAAAAGCCCATGTGTCAAAGGGTTGCTTGATGGCCTGTGGCTGTATTTGGATATGGTGGAACATTTAAGAGGTTGGTCCTGGTTGGAGGAACTTTGTACTCTCTAAGGGGATATTCATTGGGACTCCAGTCCCTTCCTACCTCTTTTTTTTTTTTTTTTTTTTT